CCTCCAAATTATTACATCTCATTCCACACTAGCTTCGTGCAAAAACTTCATGATTCCTCCAAAACAATATTTGTTCGGGATGAATTGAATATAGCGCTGAGCACCAACAAACGCTGCTGCTCGAATGCGCGACACGCTCACGCTCTGGTCAGAAGTCGAAAGTTACATGAAAATCATCACGAATTCGCTTACCATTAGCTATGACAATACCACTTTCGATGCACTGTTGACGCATGCACCTTTCATTTCGTAGCTTAAACGCCACCTCCTGCCCACTTACGTCGAATATGACACTACGGAGCGCTGACCTACTCACAGCACAGTGATATCGTGCCTGCGGAGTGTGGTTCTTTGGCATGAATCATTAATCTCAGCGAACACAATCTGACTCACGCAAACGTGCTCGATTCGCGTTCTGATGCTCTGTTGACGTGAGTGGACGAGTTGTTCGGCGGAGCCCACGCTTGCCGATCGCGCTCTTGTGTTTTCGTTGCGGCCGTGCGGTGCGGTTGTCGGCTTTGGGACGTTTTTTTCAAATGTTGTGGTCTATGTATGAAGTGGTATCGTTCGCTGCTCTCCTCTTTTCTCGGCTCATTTCATCGCCAGATCTGCAGCAGTGGCGTAGTGCTGATTTGCATGTTTCTTAACAAGGAATATGGTTGATAACGTAACGTATATAGTATGGCAGGGTTTCAGATCATGTCGCGACGTGCACCTCCACCTATTGAAGGACTTTATTCTCTGAAGGTGAAGGTCTAGTGAGGCTTTCAAATGTACCATGTTTTCACTAGTTCTGTCGTGTCAACAGTTGACCGAAAAAAGATATTCGAAGGGATGTAGTCAGAGACGACTATCTGCAAAACCACGACAAAAATCGGCGATAAACTCGTAGGGAGGTGGAGGACACCTTGTAATAAGGCTCCTAGAACTAAGCCGCGCCAGCAGGGACGAAATTGAAGAAGAACAAATACTGCTCCGCTCACCAGAGTTCTTCTCCTCTTCAAAAGAAAATCAATGCTCTTAAGAACACAAATTTTTCGCTTCCCGCAGCGCGGAATTTGGCTGTGCGACCTCAGGTCCGATCTCTGATAGTGGACCTGCTTCTTCCGTAGCAAAAAAAAAAGCGCTGCAAAACACGGAAACGTCGCTTTCTGTCCCAGCGAATTACACCCACACTACCTATTTTCGTTTACGCAGTAGGCATCGGCTCATATACTTCGGAGCTTTCTCACCCTGTACAGAATGTGGGGTCAGCGCAACTAGTGTTCCCTCACCCTTTTCTTGGAGCCGATCATCATAGTTTACGAATCGAGCGATCCGCTAGCAAATCGCTCGACCCGAGCGTTGCGCCAGCGAATCGAACGTTGCACCAGCGAATCGAACTTTGCGCCAGCCAGCGAACAATAGTGGCGGGGCCCAACGTTTAAAGGAAGTCCGCCACTTTCAAACAGTGTCCACTGTCACGTGACACTGTTTGAAAGTGGCGGGCTTCCTTTAAACGTTGGGTCCCGCCACTATTGAGTCGCTGGTACATCGTTCGACTCGCTGGCGCAAGTTCGATTCGCTGGTGCAACGCTCGGATCCAGCGATTCGCAAACTATGACATTGGCCTGAGACACCCGATGATAATTCTGAGCTGTGAGCACTAGGTGCAGTCATGGATGGCGCAAATTATGACCTAAATAATAGTAGCGTTCAGAATTACGCAAGACAGCGCTGTAATGGACTAAAGCGTCTCCGTTGGAGAAGGATCTGGAAAGCGATTGTCACGCTTTGTGTCATCGAAGTACGTTTCAGGTTGACAACATCTCTTATAATACAACACAAGCTGATCTTCGAAGAATGTTCGACAAATATGGCGAGATTGGCGATATTCATATTCCCAGAGACAAATACACACGTCAAAGCAAGGGTTTCGGATTTGTGCGATTTTATAGGTATACGCTGAATTTTACTGGTTTTTCTTTACTACAAGCCTTGAAGAATCAGTTGATGAATTTCGTCATTTTGTTGGCTTGAAATAAGCTGCAATTATGAGACCTGATATGGTTTATAACCGGTAGTTTTTTTTAAGCCGCCGTGATGCAGAGTACGCAATGGATCGCACTGATGGACGCTGGGTCGAAGGGCGCGAAATTCGCGTTGCAATGGCGCGTTATGAGCGGCCAATCGACGAGAGAGGGGCTTACACAAGGCGTGGCAGGTAAGCTTACATTGCGAGCATCGCTTGTTGGGTTGGAGCAGAAAACTCGAAACATGGCGGCCACAAAAGCGTGCATGGCATCTATTTTCGACTTGACCCCTTTAACGCCAGTGGTACCTTTTGAATCATCGCGATTTAACATTTCGTCTCGGAACAGAAGAGCAGCTGAAAGCCGAATTGTGTATACCGTGAGAAAGTGCATAATTTTATTCGAAAACAATTCGTCGCACTTTTGGACCGTGTGCCTAAGATTAGTTATCGAAGCCATTCTATCGCAGGTCAGTGAAAGTGGCTCCAAAAAGTAACTTTCAAAAGTTTAGCATTTTGTCTCCAGATGTATCAGTGAGTATAATGCTTGTGTAAATGGTTATATCAAGTACAACATGAACAAGTGAGCAATGAGAGGTGGCACTTTGTCAGCTGAGAGCGCGTTACAATAGATCACATTCTGGCGACTCGAATTTAGTGTTTCTGAGTGCTCAAATGAAAGTGGCGGCATAGCATTTAGAGCTAAAAAAAGGTCTACGGAAATTTAGCAAACAATGAAAAATAGTAACCTTCAGGCGTCCTTGTTGAATTCGCTGCACAATTTTCGAGCTTAAGTAAGAACCAAGTACTTTTTTTC